AATCACAGGGGTTGGAATGGACCTCAAGAGATCATCACATCCAACTCCCTCCTAAAGGAGGTTCCCTACAATAGGTCGCATAGGTATGTATCCAGACCTGACTTGAATATCTCCACAGAAGGAGACTCCACAGCATCTCTGGGCAGCCTGTTCCAGTGCTCTATCACCCTTACCATAAGGAAGTTCTTTTCCATGTTTGTATGGAACTTTCTATGTTCCAATTTTAGATCACTACTCCTTGTCCTTGCACCACCGAGAAAGCCGGGCCTTTTCCATTTGTTTCCCACCTCCCTTTAGATATTTATAAACATTTATCAGATCCCCTCTCAGTCTTTTTTTCCCCGGGTTGAACAGACACAGGTTACTCAGCCTTTCCTCATGCAGGAGGTGCTACAGACCCCTCATCATCATCTCGTCAGTGGCCCTCCACTGGACTCCTGGAAGATCTTTGTATTTTTTGAATTGGAAAGCCCAGAGCTGGACACAGAATTCTGATATGTGGCTTTACCAGGGGAGAGCAGAGGGGGAGGATCACCTTCTTTGACTTGCTGGCCACGCTCATTTTAATGTACCTCAGGGCACCACGGGGCATCCCAGGCCACAAAGGGACACTGCTGGCTCATGGCCAACCTTTTGCCCACTAGAACACCTGAGTCCTGCTCTGCAGTTGTTCTCTCCCTAACCTGTTCTGATACACATGTTAATTCCTCCCTAGGTGCAAGACTGTACATTTGCTTTTGTTAAATCTCATCAGGTTCCTCCCTGCTCAACTCTCCAATCTGTCCAGGTCTTGCTGAATGGCAGCACATTCTGCTGATGTGTCAGCCACTCCATTGAACTTTGTATCACCAGCAAACATGCTGGGAGTAGACTATCCCTTCAGACAGATCACTGATGAAGATGCTGAAGAAGACCAGACCCAGCACTGATCCCTGGGAATCACCATTAGCTACAGGCCACCAACAAGAGTCTGTACTGCTGATGACAACACTTTGAGCTCTGCCAGTCAGTCCTCAATCCACCTCATCAACCACTCATCTATTCCACACTAAGTTTCATAACAAGGTTTTAATGGGAAACAGTGTCAAACACCTTGCAGAAGTCAAGGTATACAACATCTGCTTCTCTCCCTCCACACAAATGAGAACCAACTTAAAAAGTACATATCTCCCATACATTCACTAAAGGAATTTAGGAATTCCATTCTCTTTTGTGACATTTTTGTATTTTGTCAACGATAGGCTTTCTGTCCTTCAGAAAAAGCATTTTGTTCATGCAGAAGACCAGCAATGAGCAACTATCAAATGAAATCTTGAGACCCTAATTTTCAAAAGGAAAGGCTGTTGATGTAGTCTACTTAGACTTCAACAAAGCCTTTGACACTGTCTCCCACAGTATTCCAGTGGCTTAGACAGGTACTCTCTCAGCTGGATAAGGAACTGACTGAAATGCCGGGCCCAGACAGAGGTGGTGAATGGAGCTAAATCCAGCTGGCGATTGGTGACAAGTGGTGTTCCCCAGGGATTGGTGCTGGGGCCTGTCCTCTTCAATATCTTTATTGACGACCTGGATGAGGGCATTGAGTGCACTCTCAGTAAGTTTGCAGATGGCACCAAGTTGGCTGGAAGTGTGGATCTGCCTGGGGGTAGCGAGGCCCTACAGAGGGATCTGGACAGGCTGGATGGCTGGGCTGAAGCCAATAGGATGAGTTTCAACAAGGCCATGCCGGGTCCTGCACTTCGGCCACAACAACCCCAGGCGACGCTACAGGCTTGGGGCAGTGTGGCTGGAGGACTGCATAGAGGAAATGGACCTGGGGGTATTGATTGATGCTCGGCTGAACATGAGCCGACAGTGTGCCCAGGTGGCCAAGAAGGCCAATGGCATCCTGGCTTGCATCAGAAACAGTGTTGTAAGCAGGAGCAGAGAGCTGATTGTTCCCCTGTATTCAGCACTGGTGAGGCCGCACCTCGAGTACTGTGTCCAGTTTTGGGCCCCTCACTGCAAGAAAGACATTGAGGCCCTGGAACGTGTTCAAAGGAGGGCAACAAAGCTGGTGAGGGGTCTGGAACACAGGCCATGTGAGGAGAGGCTGAAGGAGCTGGGAATGTTCAGCCTGGACAAGAGGAGGCTCAGGGGAGACCTCATTGCTCTCTATAACTTCCTGAAGGGAGGTTGTAGTGAGCTGGGGGTCGGCCTCTTCTCTCGTGTCATTAGTGATAGGACCAGGGGGAATGGTTTCAAGCTACGGCAGGGGAGATTCAGGCTGGACATGAGGAAGTATTACTTTTCAGAAAGGGTGGTCAGGCACTGGAATGGACTGCCCAGGGAGGTGGTGGAGTCACCGACCCTGGAGGTGTTCAAGGAAAGACTGGATATTGTGTTGAGGGACATGGTTTAGTAGGAGCTATTGGGAATAGGTGAACGGTTGGACTGGGTGATCTTTAAGGTCTTTTCCAACCTTGGTGACTGACTTACCTCTCAGTAAGTTTGCAGATGGCACCAAGTTGGCTGGAAGTGTGGATCTGCCTGGGGGTAGTGAGGCCATAAAAAGGGATCTGGACAGGCTGGATGGCTGGGCTGAGGCCAATGGAATGAGGTTCAACAAGGCCAAATGCACTTGGTACTGCTCTTTGACCACAACAACCCTAGGCAAAGCTACAGGCTTGGGGTGGAGTGGCTGGAAGACTGTATAGAGGAAATGGTCCTGGGGGTATTGTGTTGCCTTTACTTCAGCAACCTCTGAATAATGTCCCGTCGTGAAGTGCTCAGACAGCCCCGGCCAAATCACACGCTTTATGACACCAATGTGGTGAGCGGCAAATGGCACTTATTGCAAGCAACACGCTCTTCTTATAGTTGTCCCTTATATCACAGTGCTACCAATCACCCTTGCTACGGTTATCTGTGCCCAATAGACGTGTGGCATGTCTTGTCTTGCCATGTCTCATCATGGTTTCTCATGAGTCAAGGAGCCCCCGCAGAGGCTGATGACTGTTACAGCCCCCTTTTCACGTATTAGCTGACCACGCAAGGGGCCCACACAGATTACTCCTGGTTATGCCTGGTGACCTTGACAGCCCCCGCTTTGCGTATTTCGTTGACTACATCTCTAACTTGCGTATTTTGTTAACTACAGTATTGATTGATGCTGGGCTGAACATGAGCCAGCACTGTGCCTGGGTGGCCAAGAAGGCCAATGGCATCCTGGCTTGCACCAGAAAAGGTGTTGCCAGCAGGAACAGGCCATGATTGTCCCCCTGTACTCAGCTCTGGTGAGGCCGCACCTCGAGTACAGTGTCCAGTTTTGGGCCCCTCACTGCAAGAAAGACATTGAGGCCCTGAAGCGGGTTCAGAGGAGGGTTACAAAGCTGGTGAGGGGTCTGGAGCACAGGGCTTATGAGGAGCGGCTGAAGGAGCTGGGGTTGTTCAGTCTGGAGAAGAGGAGGCTCAGGGGAGACCTTATTGCTCTCTATAACTACCTGAAGGGAGGCTGTAGTGAGGTGGGGGTCGGTCTCTTCTCTTGTGTAACTGATGATAGGACTGGAGGGAATGGCTTCAAGCTGCTCCAGGGGAGATTCAGGCTGGTTAGGAAATACTACTTCTCTGAAAGAGTGATCAGGCACTGGAATGGGCTGCCCAGGGAGGTGGTGGAGTCACCGACTCTGGAGATGTTGAAGGAACATTTGTATGTTGTGTTGAGGGATATGGTTTGGTGAGAACTATTGGTGATAGGTGGATGGTTGGACTGGGTGATCTTGATGGTCTTTTCCAACCTTGGTGTTTCTGTGATTATGTGATTCTTTGATTCAGACGATTTCTTAATTTGCATCACACATGTACTAGCTTATTTTCTGGTTTATTTGGTTCTGTCTGGGTTTTGGTTTGGTTTGTTTATTTGTGTTGAGTGTTTGTTTGATTGCTCAGGTTTTTTGTTGTGCATTTAGGGTTTCATTCAGGTACACTAAGAACCAGAAAAAACTCAGCAGGAGACCCTGTTTCTCACAATTCTAACATGTGAAAAGTGCCATGAACAGGAGATACTTGATTCAAAGTTTAATTCTGTCCCTTTTGGCCACCAGTTCTTCCAAAAAGAAGAACCAACAATGTTACTATATAACTATATATATAATATATAATATATATATATAATATATATATAATATTATATATATATATATAATATAATATATTATATTAATTATATTAATTATAATATAATAATATATAATATATATATAATATTATATATATATATATAATATATAATATATAATATAACAATGTTACTATATAACCAACTAATGTTACTATATTTCAGGAAATAGTGAAGAGAATAAGTGTCCTTAGAAGTCTGCAGAGGTCTCATTATAAAAGGATCATCCTGTCACTGTGCACCGAGAGAATTACAAATGTCTGTTACTTTTTCCGTATGTTTGTTATACTTGAGGAAGGACTTCTAAGATATGTTGTTGAGACAAATCATTAGTTTCGTAGCTTTCTGGAAAAATGGATAGTATGTTTTTTTGTAATAATTAAGTTAAAGCAAAACATAAGGTGATGTACATCATCTCAGATTTATGATTCATTAACTGTGTAGAAAATGATCTGTATGTATTCCACATATTCAGTTCAGTCAAAACAATGGGATAGATCTCAATAGTATTACCATTAAGCACATTGTGCCATGACCAATGCTTCTAAACTATGAGAGGTAGAGTTAGGTAGTGATTTTCTATCTCTGTGTAAAAAACCTTACCAAAGCAAACAAAAACTTTAAAATAGTAGTTAAAAAACTACCGGAAATTGATAAGACTCACATTTCCATCTTCTTTTCATTGTTTCTTCCCCTTTAAAACTTATCTGTGTGTCAACGGTTTATGGGCTGGTCCGGCCCAGTTCCGTGACCAGCAGGGCGGAGGGATCTGCGGATCCGCGCCTCTGGAAAAGGGGAAGCAGGGGACCCCAAAAAATACTTGAAAAAAACAACAGCACTGATCTGAGGTGGAACAAATGATTTTACTAAATATAGTATTAGTAAACTACAAAGAGAGAGAGAGAGAGAGTCTGTTTGAATTGTATAGACCTCACCACAATCCTGGGGTGAGAAGTGCAGTCCAGTTGAGTGACTGAAGTACAGACGGCGAAGTGCAGATGGCGAAACGCAGGCGGCGAAGCGCAGGCGGCGAAGCGCAGATAGCGAAGCGCAGACAGCGAAGCGCAGACAGCGAAGCGCAGGCGAAGAAGAAGGCTCAGGTGACCTTGCATGGAGTTATATCCCCTTGCTGACCGCAAAGCCTCCTGGGGAAATGTAGTTCTTCTCCGACGGACGAACATTCGGCAGATATCAAACCCCACCCCCAGTGCATTACATGATGTTATGGTGTGGAATACTGATGACCAAAAATCATAAAACCATGACATTCCACCCCTTATTCTACATCACTACATCATGCTTAACACATGGGATTACAGACTGCACTCCCCCAACATCAAATTCCCTTGTGGTACACACTGAACATCCCCGTTTTTCTGCATCACCCACCAGGTGGACCCAGGTCCCTGGGCAAAGACAGTTCCGCGAAGAGGTTTGCCCTTCCCAGAAGGAGGAAAAACCCAAACTGCTTTTCCTAACATGTTCTTTACATGTACTACAGGGACCTTATCTCCCTCTACAATATGTAGGGAGCTGGATTGGGTAGGACCATCTCGACTGATTGATCCTCTGGTGTTAACCAGCCAGGTGGCTTCTGCCAAGTGCTTCTCCCAGTGTTTAAATGTTCCGCCACCCATTGCTTTCAACATGGTTTTTAACAACCCGTTGTAGCGTTCGATCTTACCAGAGGCTGGTGCATGATAGGGGATATGATAAATCCACTCGATGCCATGTTCTCTGGCCCAAGTATCCACAAGTGAATTTTTAAAATGAGTCCCATTATCTGACTCAATCCTTTCTGGGGTGCCATGTCGCCACAGGATTTGCCTCTCCAGACCTAATATGGTGTTTCGGGCGGTAGCATGGGGTACTGCATATGTTTCAAGCCACCCGGTTGTTGCCTCCACCATGGTGAGCACATAATGCTTACCATTGCGAGATCGTGGCAAGGTGATATAATCAACCTGCCATGCCTCCCCATATTTGTACTTTTGCCATCGCCCTTCCTCCCAGAGAGGTTTCATCCTCTTAGCTTGTTTAATTGTGGCGCATGTATCACAGTCATGAATGATTTGTACAATGGCATCCATAGTTAAGTCCACCCCTCGGTCTCTGGCCCATTTGTATGTTGCGTCTCTTCCTTGATGACCTGAGGTCTCATGGGCCCACCGAGCTAGAAATAATTCACCCTTGTTCTGCCAGTCCAGGTCTATTTGAGCCACCTCAATTCTGGCAGCTTGGTCTACCTGATGGTTATTTCGCTGATCTTCTGTAGCTCTACTCTTGGGCACATGAGCATCTACATGACGCACCTTTATAACCATATTTTTTGTTCGGGTAGCAATATCTTTCCATAGGTCAGCAGCCCAAATAGGCTTGCCCTTTCTTTGCCAGTTATTTTGCTCCCACTGCTGTAACCACCCCCATAAGGCATTTGCTACCATCCATGAGTCAGTGTAGAGATAGAGCATTGGCCACCTCTCCCGTTCAGCAACATCTAAAGCCAGTTGGACAGCCTTTACCTCTGCAAATTGGCTTGATTCTCCTTTCCCTTCAGTGGCCTCTGCAACTTGTCGTGTGGGGCTCCACACAGCAGATTTCCATCTGCGATGCTTTCCCACAATACGACACGATCCATCTGTGAATAGGGCATATTTCTTTTCATTCTCTGGTAGTTCATTGTATGGTGGGGCTTCTTTAGCACGTGATACTTCCTCTGCTGGTGGTGTTCCAAACTTTTTACCTTCAGGCCAGTCCATGATGACCTCTAGGATTCCTGGACGGCTGAGGTTCCCTATCCGTGCTCGTTGTGTAATCAGTGCAATCCACTTACTCCAAGTGGCATCAGTGGCATGATGGGTGGAAGGAACCTTTCCCTTGAACATCCAGTTCAACACTGGCAGTCGAGGTGCCAGAAGGAGCTGTGTTTCAGTACCGACTACTTCGGAAGCAGCCCGAACCCCCTCATATGCAGCTAAGATCTCCTTCTCAGTTGGAGTGTAGCCCTCCTCCGACCCCCTGTAGGCTCGACTCCAGAATCCCAAGGGTCGGCCTCGGGTCTCTCCTGATGCTCTTTGCCACAAACTCCAAGTGGGGCCTTTCTCTCCAGCAGCAGTGTAGAGGATGTTCTTCACATCCTGTTCTATCCGTACTGGCCCCAGGGCCACAGCACGGGCTATCTCCTGTTTAATCTGCTCAAAAGCCTGCTGCTGCTCAGGACCCCACACAAAATCATTCTTCTTCCGTGTCACCTGATAAAGTGGGCTTACAATGAGGCTGTAGTTTGGAACATGCATTCTCCAAAAACCCACTACGCCCAGAAACGATTGTGTCTCTTTCTTATTAGTGGGGGAAGACATGGCAGTGATTTTGTCAATCACATCTGTTGGGATGTGACGACGGCCATCTTGCCACTTTATGCCTAGGAACTGAATCTCCTGGGCAGGTCCTTTCACTTTGCTTCGCTTAATAGCAAAACCAGCACGGAGAAGGATCTGGATTATTTGCTCTCCTTTCTCAAAAACTTCCTTTGCTGTGTTGCCCCACACAATGATGTCATCAATGTACTGCAGGTGCTCAGGAGCACCTCCCTGTTCCAGTGCAGCTTGGATCAACCCATGGCAAATGGTCGGGCTGTGTTTCCACCCCTGGGGCAAACGGTTCCAGGTATACTGAATGCCCCTCCATGTGAAAGCAAACTGTGGCCTACATTCTTTGGCCAAAGGAATGGAGAAAAAGGCATTAGCAATGTCAATGGTGGCATACCACTTAGCTGCTTTTGACTCCAGTTCGTATTGGAGTTCTAACATATCTGGCACAGCAGCACTCCATGAGGGTGTGACTTCATTCAGGCCACGGTAGTCCACCGTCAGCCTCCATTCTCCACTGGCTTTACGCACTGGCCATATGGGGCTGTTAAAAGGCGAGTGAGTTTTGCTGATCACTCCCTGGTTCTCTAATTGATGAATTAACTTCTGAATGGGGAGCAAGGAATCCCTGTTGGTGCGGTACTGCCGTCTGTGCACCGTTTTTGTAGCTATCGGTACCTGTTGCTCTTCTACTCGTAGCAACCCCACAACAGACGGATCTTCTGATAGGCCAGGCAAAGCAGATAACTGCTTAGCACCTTCTGTGTCTACAGCAGCTATTCCAAAGGCCCATCGATACCCTTTGGGATCCTTAAAATATCCCCTTTTGAGGTAATCAATACCAAGTATACATGGAGCCCCTGGGCCAGTAACAATAGGGTGCTTTTGCCAGTCTTCACCAGTGAGGCTGATTTCGGCCTCCAACATAGTCAGTTCTTGGGAACCTCCTGTCACCCCATGAATATAAATTGATTTTGTCCCTTGGTGACTCGAGGGCATTAGAGTGCACTGTGCACCAGTATCAACTAGGGCCTTATATTTCTGTGGTTCTGATGTACCAGGCCATCTAATCCACACAGTCCAATAAACTCTATTATCCCTTTCCCCCCCCTGGCTGGGGGCAGGGCCCCTCTATTTGTTACCTCTGTTGTCTGCAGCAACTGGAGCAATTACCTTTCTGGAGAAGTTCACCTTGGTGGCTGATTTGTCTTGTAGCTCTTTTACCCGTGCTTGAAGTGCAGGAGTGGGTTGCTTATGCCACTTCTTCATATCTTCTCCATGGTCGCGTAGGTAATGCCACAAGACAAAACGTGACGTGGTCTTACTGTTGTCACTTGTTCGAGCAGGAGGACGTCTTCTTTTGATAGCTGAGATGTTGGATGACACCGGCTGGGAGGAAACCAAGTTGATCAGCCCCTCAAGTAGGCTGTTTTGGGAATTCTGTTCCTCATTAGATGTATCTGTGACCACCATGTATTCATCGGCATCAGGCACAATTGATAGTTTATCTATTATATCTTCTTGTTTGTTTTCCATTCTGTCCAGCTTTTCAGATACTTTTTCAATGGCTGAAACACAAGCTCGTAGAGGGCTTAAATGTAACTCAAAGTCTTGAAGCTTATTAACCAATTCATTTATAAGGGGTCTTCTTTCTCCTCTGCCATACATAGCTGCCAATGTACTGGCGTACCTTTCTGGTGCAGTCTTCGTGAACGTACGCCACATATTTGGTGTACACCTGGCCCTCTCAGGATCATGCTCTTGATTTGGCTCATCAGGAATGAAATCAGGGCTATGTAGTGTTTCCACCACAGCACATTCTCTCAAATAACGGATGCCTTCCTCCATATCAGCCCATTTCTTCTTCTCGGGCATCAGATCGTCTTTGAAGGGGTAACTTTCTCTTACAGCTAACAGCATCCTCTTCCAGAGGGTGAAAGCCTGGTTCTGGCATGTACTAATACCTCTGTCAATGGCGGAGTCCCTAGCAATGCCACCCAATTGGCGAGCTTCTCTACTATCTAGCCACACACTGTTGGCCCCATTGTCCCAGCATCGAAGTAACCAAGTAGCAATAGGCTCATTTGGGTGGCGTGAGAAGTCTTTTCTCAGACTTCGAATTTCATTCATTTTCAGAGATCGATCCACAAAAGTAACAATATCTTGCTCACCTCTTGCTCTTCCAGGACTTCTTGCCCTTGTAGGTGTTGGTGACCGTGGTCTTACTGAGGGTCCCTCCCCTGGACTCAGAGGTGCTTCTCTTGGACCTCGGAGCCACTCCTCTGGACCTCTTTCCTCCTCTTTCTTCTCTTCTAACTGAGTCGAGATTCGCTTTGTTTTTCGTCCTCTTACAGGGGCAACTGACATCGATTGTGGTGCCTCTTGTGGTTGATCAAGTTGGTCGGTTCCAATGCTCTCATCCTCCAGTTCAGCTTGGAGGGTGTGTTGTTGAGATTTAAGATTGTCGAGTTTGGACTGCAGGGAGTCTCTTTCAATTCGGAGGGCATCTCTCTCAGATCGGAAGTTTTTCCTCTGGAGCAGGAGACTCTCTCGCTCATTTTGAACTTTTTCCCTGAGGCTCTCCCTTTCAATTTCAGAAGCTCTTTCTCTCTCCAGGATAGTATTGAATAAGGCCCGATAAGCATTAGCCAGGCCCCAAATCATATGTGCCTCCTCAGAACTGCCCAAACCGCAACATTCCTGCCTTAAATAGCTGTTTAGAATCTCAGGGTCTTTCAGGTGTTCTGGAGTAAAGTTCCATGAGACTGAAGATTTCCATCTGTCTAAAGTCTTTCCCAGACCTCTCCACACTCCCTGCCACTCAGTATTCTCTGGTTTTGGGGAGGATATCCTCAAAATATAATAAATACTAATACTGAGCGAAATGATGAGCAATACATTCAGGGAGATTAGTAATGCGACTAGGTGTTCATTCAGAAACTGCATTACAGGCTGAAAGGTGAGACTGGAAACCTTAAAAAATCCCAGTCCTGTAAAATTGGCAGCTGTCTCCGGAATTGTAAGCCACATTGTACGAACGTGCCAGGTCCATATTTCCACCCATGTTTTCATTTGATTGTATATGCCGATTGCTCCATAGAGCAAGGTGGCAAGCTTAATTAATGCCCAGTATGTTTTGAGCATTAGGAAAGAAGAGGCAGCAGCGTGCAGCCCTTTAAAAGTAAGTTTCACTACAGAAAGCATTTTTTTTTTTTTTTTTTTTTACAGAGGCGAGATAGTAAAGCTCTGAGTTTACAAATATCCTACGATACTGGCAGTCCGCCTGGAGTTTTCAAGGTCACGTTTTTTAGAGAGTACCAGTGAAACAGATAAGCTTTACCAACGGAACTCTCCGAGAGCAGAGAGTCTAAACAGCTAGAAAGCAACTGCTGCCCGCATTCTCCACCAAAAATGTCAACGGTTTATGGGCTGGTCCGGCCCAGTTCCGTGACCAGCAGGGCGGAGGGATCTGCGGATCCGCGCCTCTGGAAAAGGGGAAGCAGGGGACCCCAAAAAATACTTGAAAAAAACAACAGCACTGATCTGAGGTGGAACAAATGATTTTACTAAATATAGTATTAGTAAACTACAAAGAGAGAGAGAGAGAGAGTCTGTTTGAATTGTATAGACCTCACCACAATCCTGGGGTGAGAAGTGCAGTCCAGTTGAGTGACTGAAGTACAGACGGCGAAGTGCAGATGGCGAAACGCAGGCGGCGAAGCGCAGGCGGCGAAGCGCAGATAGCGAAGCGCAGACAGCGAAGCGCAGACAGCGAAGCGCAGGCGAAGAAGAAGGCTCAGGTGACCTTGCATGGAGTTATATCCCCTTGCTGACCGCAAAGCCTCCTGGGGAAATGTAGTTCTTCTCCGACGGACGAACATTCGGCAGATATCAAACCCCACCCCCAGTGCATTACATGATGTTATGGTGTGGAATACTGATGACCAAAAATCATAAAACCATGACATTCCACCCCTTATTCTACATCACTACATCATGCTTAACACATGGGATTACAGACTGCACTCCCCCAACATCAAATTCCCTTGTGGTACACACTGAACATCCCCGTTTTTCTGCATCACCCACCAGGTGGACCCAGGTCCCTGGGCAAAGACAGTTCCGCGAAGAGGTTTGCCCTTCCCAGAAGGAGGAAAAACCCAAACTGCTTTTCCTAACATGTTCTTTACATGTACTACAGGGACCTTATCTCCCTCTACAATATGTAGGGAGCTGGATTGGGTAGGACCATCTCGACTGATTGATCCTCTGGTGTTAACCAGCCAGGTGGCTTCTGCCAAGTGCTTCTCCCAGTGTTTAAATGTTCCGCCACCCATTGCTTTCAACATGGTTTTTAACAACCCGTTGTAGCGTTCGATCTTACCAGAGGCTGGTGCATGATAGGGGATATGATAAATCCACTCGATGCCATGTTCTCTGGCCCAAGTATCCACAAGTGAATTTTTAAAATGAGTCCCATTATCTGACTCAATCCTTTCTGGGGTGCCATGTCGCCACAGGATTTGCCTCTCCAGACCTAATATGGTGTTTCGGGCGGTAGCATGGGGTACTGCATATGTTTCAAGCCACCCGGTTGTTGCCTCCACCATGGTGAGCACATAATGCTTACCATTGCGAGATCGTGGCAAGGTGATATAATCAACCTGCCATGCCTCCCCATATTTGTACTTTTGCCATCGCCCTTCCTCCCAGAGAGGTTTCATCCTCTTAGCTTGTTTAATTGTGGCGCATGTATCACAGTCATGAATGATTTGTACAATGGCATCCATAGTTAAGTCCACCCCTCGGTCTCTGGCCCATTTGTATGTTGCGTCTCTTCCTTGATGACCTGAGGTCTCATGGGCCCACCGAGCTAGAAATAATTCACCCTTGTTCTGCCAGTCCAGGTCTATTTGAGCCACCTCAATTCTGGCAGCTTGGTCTACCTGATGGTTATTTCGCTGATCTTCTGTAGCTCTACTCTTGGGCACATGAGCATCTACATGACGCACCTTTATAACCATATTTTTTGTTCGGGTAGCAATATCTTTCCATAGGTCAGCAGCCCAAATAGGCTTGCCCTTTCTTTGCCAGTTATTTTGCTCCCACTGCTGTAACCACCCCCATAAGGCATTTGCTACCATCCATGAGTCAGTGTAGAGATAGAGCATTGGCCACCTCTCCCGTTCAGCAACATCTAAAGCCAGTTGGACAGCCTTTACCTCTGCAAATTGGCTTGATTCTCCTTTCCCTTCAGTGGCCTCTGCAACTTGTCGTGTGGGGCTCCACACAGCAGATTTCCATCTGCGATGCTTTCCCACAATACGACACGATCCATCTGTGAATAGGGCATATTTCTTTTCATTCTCTGGTAGTTCATTGTATGGTGGGGCTTCTTTAGCACGTGATACTTCCTCTGCTGGTGGTGTTCCAAACTTTTTACCTTCAGGCCAGTCCATGATGACCTCTAGGATTCCTGGACGGCTGAGGTTCCCTATCCGTGCTCGTTGTGTAATCAGTGCAATCCACTTACTCCAAGTGGCATCAGTGGCATGATGGGTGGAAGGAACCTTTCCCTTGAACATCCAGTTCAACACTGGCAGTCGAGGTGCCAGAAGGAGCTGTGTTTCAGTACCGACTACTTCGGAAGCAGCCCGAACCCCCTCATATGCAGCTAAGATCTCCTTCTCAGTTGGAGTGTAGCCCTCCTCCGACCCCCTGTAGGCTCGACTCCAGAATCCCAAGGGTCGGCCTCGGGTCTCTCCTGATGCTCTTTGCCACAAACTCCAAGTGGGGCCTTTCTCTCCAGCAGCAGTGTAGAGGATGTTCTTCACATCCTGTTCTATCCGTACTGGCCCCAGGGCCACAGCACGGGCTATCTCCTGTTTAATCTGCTCAAAAGCCTGCTGCTGCTCAGGACCCCACACAAAATCATTCTTCTTCCGTGTCACCTGATAAAGTGGGCTTACAATGAGGCTGTAGTTTGGAACATGCATTCTCCAAAAACCCACTACGCCCAGAAACGATTGTGTCTCTTTCTTATTAGTGGGGGAAGACATGGCAGTGATTTTGTCAATCACATCTGTTGGGATGTGACGACGGCCATCTTGCCACTTTATGCCTAGGAACTGAATCTCCTGGGCAGGTCCTTTCACTTTGCTTCGCTTAATAGCAAAACCAGCACGGAGAAGGATCTGGATTATTTGCTCTCCTTTCTCAAAAACTTCCTTTGCTGTGTTGCCCCACACAATGATGTCATCAATGTACTGCAGGTGCTCAGGAGCACCTCCCTGTTCCAGTGCAGCTTGGATCAACCCATGGCAAATGGTCGGGCTGTGTTTCCACCCCTGGGGCAAACGGTTCCAGGTATACTGAATGCCCCTCCATGTGAAAGCAAACTGTGGCCTACATTCTTTGGCCAAAGGAATGGAGAAAAAGGCATTAGCAATGTCAATGGTGGCATACCACTTAGCTGCTTTTGACTCCAGTTCGTATTGGAGTTCTAACATATCTGGCACAGCAGCACTCCATGAGGGTGTGACTTCATTCAGGCCACGGTAGTCCACCGTCAGCCTCCATTCTCCACTGGCTTTACGCACTGGCCATATGGGGCTGTTAAAAGGCGAGTGAGTTTTGCTGATCACTCCCTGGTTCTCTAATTGATGAATTAACTTCTGAATGGGGAGCAAGGAATCCCTGTTGGTGCGGTACTGCCGTCTGTGCACCGTTTTTGTAGCTATCGGTACCTGTTGCTCTTCTACTCGTAGCAACCCCACAACAGACGGATCTTCTGATAGGCCAGGCAAAGCAGATAACTGCTTAGCACCTTCTGTGTCTACAGCAGCTATTCCAAAGGCCCATCGATACCCTTTGGGATCCTTAAAATATCCCCTTTTGAGGTAATCAATACCAAGTATACATGGAGCCCCTGGGCCAGTAACAATAGGGTGCTTTTGCCAGTCTTCACCAGTGAGGCTGATTTCGGCCTCCAACATAGTCAGTTCTTGGGAACCTCCTGTCACCCCATGAATATAAATTGATTTTGTCCCTTGGTGACTCGAGGGCATTAGAGTGCACTGTGCACCAGTATCAACTAGGGCCTTATATTTCTGTGGTTCTGATGTACCAGGCCATCTAATCCACACAGTCCAATAAACTCTATTATCCCTTTCCCCCCCCTGGCTGGGGGCAGGGCCCCTCTATTTGTTACCTCTGTTGTCTGCAGCAACTGGAGCAATTACCTTTCTGGAGAAGTTCACCTTGGTGGCTGATTTGTCTTGTAGCTCTTTTACCCGTGCTTGAAGTGCAGGAGTGGGTTGCTTATGCCACTTCTTCATATCTTCTCCATGGTCGCGTAGGTAATGCCACAAGACAAAACGTGACGTGGTCTTACTGTTGTCACTTGTTCGAGCAGGAGGACGTCTTCTTTTGATAGCTGAGATGTTGGATGACACCGGCTGGGAGGAAACCAAGTTGATCAGCCCCTCAAGTAGGCTGTTTTGGGAATTCTGTTCCTCATTAGATGTATCTGTGACCACCATGTATTCATCGGCATCAGGCACAATTGATAGTTTATCTATTATATCTTCTTGTTTGTTTTCCATTCTGTCCAGCTTTTCAGATACTTTTTCAATGGCTGAAACACAAGCTCGTAGAGGGCTTAAATGTAACTCAAAGTCTTGAAGCTTATTAACCAATTCATTTATAAGGGGTCTTCTTTCTCCTCTGCCATACATAGCTGCCAATGTACTGGCGTACCTTTCTGGTGCAGTCTTCGTGAACGTACGCCACATATTTGGTGTACACCTGGCCCTCTCAGGATCATGCTCTTGATTTGGCTCATCAGGAATGAAATCAGGGCTATGTAGTGTTTCCACCACAGCACATTCTCTCAAATAACGGATGCCTTCCTCCATATCAGCCCATTTCTTCTTCTCGGGCATCAGATCGTCTTTGAAGGGGTAACTTTCTCTTACAGCTAACAGCATCCTCTTCCAGAGGGTGAAAGCCTGGTTCTGGCATGTACTAATACCTCTGTCAATGGCGGAGTCCCTAGCAATGCCACCCAATTGGCGAGCTTCTCTACTATCTAGCCACACACTGTTGGCCCCATTGTCCCAGCATCGAAGTAACCAAGTAGCAATAGGCTCATTTGGGTGGCGTGAGAAGTCTTTTCTCAGACTTCGAATTTCATTCATTTTCAGAGATCGATCCACAAAAGTAACAATATCTTGCTCACCTCTTGCTCTTCCAGGACTTCTTGCCCTTGTAGGTGTTGGTGACCGTGGTCTTACTGAGGGTCCCTCCCCTGGACTCAGAGGTGCTTCTCTTGGACCTCGGAGCCACTCCTCTGGACCTCTTTCCTCCTCTTTCTTCTCTTCTAACTGAGTCGAGATTCGCTTTGTTTTTCGTCCTCTTACAGGGGCAACTGACATCGATTGTGGTGCCTCTTGTGGTTGATCAAGTTGGTCGGTTCCAATGCTCTCATCCTCCAGTTCAGCTTGGAGGGTGTGTTGTTGAGATTTAAGATTGTCGAGTTTGGACTGCAGGGAGTCTCTTTCAATTCGGAGGGCATCTCTCTCAGATCGGAAGTTTTTCCTCTGGAGCAGGAGACTCTCTCGCTCATTTTGAACTTTTTCCCTGAGGCTCTCCCTTTCAATTTCAGAAGCTCTTTCTCTCTCCAGGATAGTATTGAATAAGGCCCGATAAGCATTAGCCAGGCCCCAAATCATATGTGCCTCCTCAGAACTGCCCAAACCGCAACATTCCTGCCTTAAATAGCTGTTTAGAATCTCAGGGTCTTTCAGGTGTTCTGGAGTAAAGTTCCATGAGACTGAAGATTTCCATCTGTCTAAAGTCTTTCCCAGACCTCTCCACACTCCCTGCCACTCAGTATTCTCTGGTTTTGGGGAGGATATCCTCAAAATATAATAAATACTAATACTGAGCGAAATGATGAGCAATACATTCAGGGAGATTAGTAATGCGACTAGGTGTTCATTCAGAAACTGCATTACAGGCTGAAAGGTGAGACTGGAAACCTTAAAAAATCCCAGTCCTGTAAAATTGGCAGCTGTCTCCGGAATTGTAAGCCACATTGTACGAACGTGCCAGGTCCATATTTCCACCCATGTTTTCATTTGATTGTATATGCCGATTGCTCCATAGAGCAAGGTGGCAAGCTTAATTAATGCCCAGTATGTTTTGAGCATTAGGAAAGAAGAGGCAGCAGCGTGCAGCCCTTTAAAAGTAAGTTTCACTACAGAAAGCATTTTTTTTTTTTTTTTTTTTTACAGAGGCGAGATAGTAAAGCTCTGAGTTTACAAATATCCTACGATACTGGCAGTCCGCCTGGAGTTTTCAAGGTCACGTTTTTTAGAGAGTACCAGTGAAACAGATAAGCTTTACCAACGGAACTCTCCGAGAGCAGAGAGTCTAAACAGCTAGAAAGCAACTGCTGCCCGCATTCTCCACCAAAAATGTCAACGGTTTATGGGCTGGTCCGGCCCAGTTCCGTGACCAGCAGGGCGGAGGGATCTGCGGATCCGCGCCTCTGGAAAAGGGGAAGCAGGGGACCCCAAAAAATACTTGAAAAAAACAACAGCACTGATCTGAGGTGGAACAAATGATTTTACTAAATATAGTATTAGTAAACTACAAAGAGAGAGAGAGAGAGAGTCTGTTTGAATTGTATAGACCTCACCACAATCCTGGGGTGAGAAGTGCAGTCCAGTTGAGTGACTGAAGTACAGACGGCGAAGTGCAGATGGCGAAACGCAGGCGGCGAAGCGCAGGCGGCGAAGCGCAGATAGCGAAGCGCAGACAGCGAAGCGCAGACAGCGAAGCGCAGGCGAAGAAGAAGGCTCAGGTGACCTTGCATGGAGTTATATCCCCTTGCTGACCGCAAAGCCTCCTGGGGAAATGTAGTTCTTCTCCGACGGACGAACATTCGGCAGATATCAAACCCCACCCCCAGTGCATTACATGATGTTATGGTGTGGAATACTGATGACCAAAAATCATAAAACCATGACACTGTGAAATAAATCCACTTGTCAACATCTGGTTGTGAGGTTCTCTTAAGAAGATCTACATTGTCCCTATCTTTCAATGTGTAATAAACTCTTAAAGGTAAAGCCTTAACCAGGGCTTTGCTGGAAGACTGCAATAGATTCCAAAAATTACTGTCCATCAGTATGCCATTAAATGACATGTATGTTTTTTTGTTGTTTCTTTTTTCTCTTGGACAAGTATAACTGACAGTAACCTTTTGGGGTGCATTTGTGCAACTGAAAATGTAATTCAGGTTTTATTTCATAATGCTACACTCACTCTAGAGGCAGCTTGAGCCACCTACTTAGCTTAAATTCTTGGCACAAAAAACCTTCAATTTTCCAAGTGATAATCGATTTCAATGAGGTTGAGAAAATCAGAATTCTGCTGTTCTTCGTTGTTCCCACTGTGCAAAAGCAGCTGTCACATGAATTACAAAATTCTGGTGAAAGATCTAAATGAAGTTAGGGATGCCTGCTCTGGTGAGCTTTCAGTCACATGTGTTTCAAGCTCAATGTTTTTTCCAACTGAACATTTTCAGAAGATTCGGCATGCTCCCACAGATCCTTGCAAAAATTGGCACGTTCACTTTCCATCATGGGTAAAGCTGACTTGTGGTATTCCAAAGTTTATTTAAATGTACAGTTCAGGAATATTTTTTCTTAGCTCTGTCAGGAAGCCCTGGTAAAAGCTTTGTCCTTGGCCTTGTGAATGTCCCTGTCTTTGATTAAAAGCAAGGACAGGTTTTAAAAAAGCAGTTTTCATTCTGTCTCTCGTAATAGTAGCTATTGTTGGAAGGAACCATAGGTTTCGCCTTTCCATGTGAGGAGCCATATGAGACTGGTTAAGAAGAAAAGGCAGCCCCTGTAACCAATTCCATCTGCTAGTGGCTAGGATCAGCATAAAAAATGGCGCTGGAAAGACACATCCATCCTTGAAGAGTTGATACTTCCCTTGAAATGCTGAGAATTGGCTAGCCAAAAATACTCCCTTCTTTTACCACAGACTATACAGGACCCTCTGGCCTTCAGAATGAGATCATGCTGCTACAACTGAATGGGTACATGGAAGAACATTTCTGAATATTCTTCAGCCCTTCTGATCTGTTTACCTACAAGAGAGGGAGAACTGTTTATAGAAAAATCTCTGAAAGTTAAAAGCATTGTGTACATTAACATGTCAAAATCTGTGCAAAAACGCTGACTTTGCCCTCATGTTCTGTCTTGTTTTTTTATCATTTTCCACTACTGTACAGAAAAATACATACTCTGAATTCTCAAGGTGCCTCATCTGTGATTGCCCGCAATACAGGAGACTTCATTTTACAAATCTCCTGAAGTCTCCAAGTCCCACTTGAGATATAGGTTCTATATGGCCAGATGAGACAGTCATGATCGTAGGGACTTTTTACGCATAAGCAGAGCACGAAGAGAGTGAAAGCAAGAGGGTACCAAATTAATCACTGAAAGTAATATAGATAGTACATGGTGAATCTAAGATAGGAATATGTATGCAATGCCCAGAACACTAATTCAAAACAATACACCCTTCTTTGACATTATGTCTAAGATCAGAAAATCATATAGATTCATAGAATTCTAAGTTTTTCTCATGATTTCTGTACAAAAAATTGATTTAGAGAAGGCAAACTTTGTAGTTCCTTTTAGCAAATATTCCAGAAATTTCATGAGCAGATCCATGAAAGATGTTTTCTCTTCTAAGTACCCTCTTCTAAATACCTAACAATTTTCACATGCAGAGAGCTATAACCAATTTGTCTTCTCAGCTGACATGAGTAGTGTGCCCTGGCAGGCTTGGGGGCAAATCGCATTGAAAAAGTAGATAAATAAATGCGTCTGCCTTTCAAAAATTCATAGTCATGTTAAATGATGTAGCCTAAGGTCACAGTTCTCTAACCACTAGGCCTGAACTTCCACTTTCAGCACTGCATGGCAAGCTCATGGAATCCCAGGCAGAAGGCTTGTGATAATCCATTATAACAGAAAAAATGAAG